GAGTCCTCATAGTATGGTTTCGGTAAGGGAGTTCCGCTCTAGAGTCCTATCCTGGCGATTTGACTCCACTCTAGGGTCCTTATAGTATGGTTCCGGTGAGGGGGTTCCGCTCTAGATTCCTACCCTGGCGATTTGACTCCGCTCTAGGGTCCTACTTTTGACCAAGTACGCCATACAGTCCCCCGCTCTACAGTCCTACAGCCCAAATTGTGAGATGTTCAAAATCCTACAATGATTATACTAGATTAACGTTATTATAGAAAACTAATTAAGGAGTGCTATGTTGCCATGCAGCAGTGAATATGAAGAAATTTAAGCAATATATTATGTCATCATAATTTTGTATAATAGGAAGCAAGTATTTCAGGTCATTTGGTGAACTGTTATGTAATACTAATATACAGGTTCATCGAGATATCAATGAATATTATTTTTAAGAGGCTACCCATTCGAAACACAGATCATTATCAATCTTGTGAAAATGTTTAAATTTCAAAACATTCTACATGAACACGGTCCCGACACGATACATCTGTACACATCATTAACAAATAATATTTTAATCGAGTTGGTAATGTTACAGTTTTCCACTGTTAATTTGGATATCCGATTGACTGGGAGCATTCAGTCGACTGTCCTCTCTGTTATACGGTGTGTAGCGTGTACTATGCCATACTGCCCGGTCACTTGTCCACAATCAACCAAATCATCATATCATATTGATATACATTGAACGTAATTATAATCAATAATGCCCATTGCTAGGGATATTTTGAGGAATTTAATGGGTGAAAATAGATGTTGTAGTACAATAAATAGAGATAAAGGTGGACAGTACTAGTGGGGTGCAGAAAATTCGTTAAATTAAATTCTCAGTTCAAAGTTTTAAAATTTCATATTTCGAATGGCATAGAATGGAGAAAAATGGCATAAAATTCATCAAATGGCATAGAAATTTCATGGCATAAATGGAAATTTTGTTTGGCCAATTCTCCATTATGCCATTTATGCCATTGGCACCCCCCCCCCCCCCCTGTATAGTATCCAAATAACAGTGTGTTTACATTTTTAAAATGCACAATATGGCAAAAAAAATCAAATAATTAATCCATTAAAATAGTAATTAAACAGCTAAAGATAATGAATTGTTTGATACAACATTCTGTCTGATTATTTTTCAAAACGTTATTAATAAATCAAAGCGGTTCGTGAAGGGACTTCTTGATTTGACAGCTAAACTATAAAAATATAACAGATACACTCGACACTTCTTAACAAGAAGTTCTTGTATAGAGGAGCGCTTCTCTATCCAGACGTAGCATATCAAAACAGAGATTAATATGATAGTTAGTAGCATAGATTATCAGGTTACACAGCAGGAGCACTTGAAGCGTACGGCGGGGGTGCTTCAGGTGCGTACTGTTGAGCGTTAGGGGCGTACTGTTGAGGGGGCCCAGCGGCGTCAGGGGCAAACTGTTCACTATCACTGACGTACATTTGAGGGGGTCCAGGCGGGTACAGTTGAAGGGGTTGAGGGGCGTACTGTTGAGGGAGGTCAGCAACGTATTGTTGATGGGGGTCCAGGCGGGTACAGTTGAGGGAGGTCAGCGGAGTACTGTTGAGGGGGTCCTGTGTCGTACTGTTGTGGAGGAATGTAGGATGAAGGAGCTTGAGTGACTGGGTTTTACACCACTACTTCTACAACTTGAGTTGTAGATGTCTTGCACTGTTGTCGTTCTTGGATGAGAGCACAACACGGACAACACATTATCGCCAGCCAATCTGCACAGCAATTAGTTGGGATCTTGTGGTTCCTCCGAATATTCGGTCTAATACAACAACACCAGGCACACAGCGAAAATGGACAGAAGAAGAATAGGCAGCCACAGAACGCTCCACAACAACCATCACAGCAGCACCCAGAATCTCGGGCATTCAAACCGAAGGTGATACACGGACAACACCAAGCGAGCAGACACTCTCCACAGTCGTCAAAACATCCAAATAGGCCGTGACTCCATTCGTTGTTCCATTGATTTCCACCCTCGGAAGTAACAAGTATTACTTGCTGACTCATAATCTGTGATAGTGACGATCGTTATCATATTCGTACAAAAAATACTTTACTTTATCATAATGATAAGATTTTACGTTTAAAAAAACTTAAACTGCTGTTCTCAATCACAAGATTTTAGGAGAAGATCTTATGATAGAGAATACAAAGGTGGTTTGGAAAATATTACGCTAGTGTTATTCCTACAAGAAGTTGAATTATTATTTTTATTTTTTTAAGAGAGGCTGGGCCAAGATAGCCCACGAGAGGATAGCATTGAGATGCTCTGCCTACCTCTGGGGTGTGGCAACCTTGGGGAAGGTTGCCGGTGAAATCAGAGTGATTGGTGGAGGATGGTGTAAGATGATATATGAGTCAAAATGATACGCTTAAATGCCAGCTGGGTTTGGAAAAGTAAAACGAGACGAGACAGCATATGAGATAATACTTTAAGTCACCCCGGTCTGATCCAGCTCTTCCGGCACAATTAAGCGTTTGGTGCGGTTTGCGAAATTGACAATTGTTGTGATGTGTTGGTTGTCGAATATGTCATTGACAGAGAGGTAGTAGTCCTGGAAATATTGACCTCTAATTTGGGCAATAGCTGGACACTGTCCAAGGAAGTGTGAGACAGTTTCCTCTCCGTCGCCGCACATAGGACAAGCACTGGTGTTTGATTTGCAAATGGTTTGAAGGTGTTTGTTTAAGCCGCAGTGACCCGTGATGAGGTGAACTGTAGTTCTGTAATCTTGTTTGTTGTTGCTGAGTGTAGTGTTGAGGTTTTTGATGATTTTGGCATGCTTGTGGCCGAGTGTCAGTTTGGTGTGTCTGGGACCGTCAGTTAACCAAGTTTCCTGATTCAGTCTGTTGACTTTGTTGTCGATTTGACGCTTGATGTAGGATTGTGGAATTGGACACTTCAAAGTGGAATTATGTTATCAGTATTACATCCCGTGCAATGGACCCCTCGAAACTCGTAGCACAAATGATAAGGAAGAGACATTACAAAAGTAGTTCCTTTGCAATCACATCCATCTAGGATTGATCAGAAATCCGGAGACCAAGGTACATATTTTAAAGGTATTTAATACTCATTACATACTTAGAGGATACTCAATACTCATAACATACACATTATTCAGTACAATACAAGAAAAATAGAACTGGCGCCTAGCGGGAGGTGGTTTGTTATTTCTACAGAACAGCTTTGTGAAGAGTGGGTAACGGAGGGAGTATAAAATGGCTAACGTAATAATATTACGTTGCCATTTTATGTGGATAAGTAGATGGCCCCTAACGGGGGGGGGGGGGGGGGGGGGTACCAATGGCATAAAATAGCATAAATGGCATACGTTTTATGGCATAAATGGACATTTTTATTGGCCAATTCTCCATTTATGCCATGAATTTAGGTCTTCATATTTGACCTTTAGGATGACTTTAAATTCGCAAATTATTATTAGTACTTGAATAAGAGACATTTTTCATGCTTTATAACGCTTGGAATGATCGTTAAAGATTCATATGACAAATAAAGAAAATAGAAATGTATTATATCAAACGGGGGGGGGGGGGGGGGGGGGGTTACCAATGGCATAGAATGTCATAAAATGGCATAAATGGTATACGTTTTATGGCATAAATGGAAATTTTTATTGGCCAATTCTCCATTATGCCATTTATGCCATTGGTACCCCCCAATGCACCTAAATTTATCAGAATTTAAAGCCCATAAAAATCCAAATTTTCCATGAAGCATCCTCTAAACGAACTCCTATGAATGTCAGTGTTGCATAGCATAACTATAAGCACTCGCTACACTTTTAGAGGAATTTAGTTGTTTAATGTATTTTACATCTCAATCAAACGGTTTTTTGTAGATATTTCTTTGTTCATTACGTATGGTGTTTTTAATTTTATTATAATTTTCTTGTAAAAATCCTTTTTGACTTTGAGTAGAAATACTTTTTAAATTAGGTCGGACATAACCATTGTAATTTGACTTTTGAACCGTTTAATACTTTTAAAAACAATACCTGGCAAAAGATCTTGTCGGCTTCCGTGACAACGGTGACATGATCAAATATTTTAAAATTTTTGGTCATTCAAACTGATAAGCCCATCAAATTCAATTGTGTTTTTAAAACAAAACAACAAATTTTATACAATGGCAATAATTGACATAGGTACTTGGTTGAAACGAATTAATTTCACCACCTTTAAAATATTTGAATTGCGATTAATCAGGGTACAAATGCGAGTCTCGCTCAACTAAGAATTTAATTATTCGAGTTAAATTTGTTTGAAGACACCCTACTGACGATGGCATGTGCCAGGCACATATTATGATATTAATTTAGGGCAACTGCACGATTGAATATTCGTTCCGTCTACTCCAAACTCACTTTAAATCACTATTGTAATTTAGAATCCCTCCCCGGCCGACTAGAATAATCTTAACTCTCTCGTGATCCACGCCAGATAATTACAATTTCTTGAAAACTTTTGTTCTCAGGACGGCATAATTCTCAGTGCAGTCAGACTTGTCGCCTGCTATTATAGTATTAAATCAATTAAATCATTAACACGTTCAGTTTACAGTGTATACTGACGAGGGGGTTGAAGCCAAGGAAGCGAACGAGGGATTTTGGAAACTCAGCTGGGTCGGATACGGATACGTATGTTAGAGTGCTGGATAGTGGATAGTGGATTGAGGATCAAATTCTAATGCTTCTAGGCGTTAAATCGACTGGTTATTGTTGATTCTATTTAAAACTTCTAAACTTATTATTTTCACTTAAAGATTTTGTTTGATTTAACCCACAATTTTGGATAATTCTGGTGGGGGTTCAGTATAAAATCTTTTTCAATCTTAATTTTAAGATAGGAATTGAATATTGATTGACCAAAAAAATAGAGATCATTATTTGAGGGGAAACTTAAAAGGTAAACCAATAAATCCTGTCATAACTGATACTATAGAAAAAGAATTCATCGTGCTTCTCGAAAATGATATTATTGACATACATTTTTAGTAAACAAAATTACATCTTTAAATAAAAACAAGCATAGTGGCAGCAGAAGCAAACTTTATGAATGAACATAAATGAGATACTGACAAAATGTATAGTTTTTAACACTAACAATAACATACACCCGGAGCAAAAGTGACACGGTGTAAAATGCGCGGTGTACAGCATGAAGATCAATAAAATTATATAAAATAGGAAAAGGGTTTCCAAGAGAAGTTGACACAAGTAACGTAAATTAACAGGAAAGTAAATCATTTATTTATTAATCATTCTAAAAATTTAATTTCACCACAAACGCTTATCTGTCATATATATTGGATCACGGTAGGTCCACGGGATCGTTAATGGCCCGCCATATGTGTCATAAGATCATCCGTTCCCATACTTTTCTCGTCATCAAAGTCTATGTGTCTGGTTTGACAGAGATATCTCGCGAACAGGTTATCCTTTCCCTTCTTCAGGGTTTTGTTCCTAAGCAGCAATGGATTCTTGCAGGGTTTAGTGATAAGATTGAAAACAATATACGGAATGTTGAATGGAAACAGGAAGGGCATGCCGTGCCCCTCCACGTTGGTGACGGAATTATACTCCATGATGGACTCAAACTGAGAGTACCTCCAGCTTGCGAACTTGCCCTCGTTTACTCTGGAGTAAGCACCACACATGATAGCAATGAGCAGGTTCATGCACATTATCCCCAGCAGAACCTCGTAAATAACGAGGAGAAAGCCCACACATACGGACATGGCGCTATCTAGAGAGTTGTAGAGGTTCTCTTTCCGGATATTGTATAAGCCTCCAAACAAGTTCCATACAAGGGAGATTACTGTGCTGCTGAAAGATTGAAAAGAGAAGAAACCATCTTTATCATCACTTCCGTCAATCTCATTAACTATCCGGTAACAAGACGAGATGCTTAGCATCGGAACTGTGAATCCGATCAAAAAGAACCCAAATAGGAACATGACTCGTGAGATTTCCGCAAACATTTCCCTTATGGCTCGAAGCAAGGGCCCAAGACCAGGAACATGGATTGTGGAGAACTGCAGGAGGTGAACCAAGGAAACCACAGCTGCAGTGCAGTAGAAGTAAATCGTAAGCATCAACCCTCGTGCAACCATCCGGTCGTGGTCAATACGATGATAAAGACCAGATACTTTAGAAGAGATGGATGCTTGAAGCTTGCAGATCATCCCCGTTAGGAGCAGTAATGTCAAAACTATATCGTTCAGGTTTGAGAAACTGTTAAAGTATTGTTTCAGCTTGGATTTAGCCATGGTACCCTTTTTATGATATGCTTGGTACCACTCTGTGAGGATCCTGGCAACAATGCATACCCACAAGCACCACTCGGACCCGGGTGTGGATGGGGACGGCAGTTTCACCAGGATACTTCCATCATCTTCCACTTTGAAATGGGAGCTGTTAGAAGCTGTAATGTTTCCTGATTGCAGCTGGAAGATAAGAAGGTGCACTGGTTTAGGGTCAGGGATTGTGGTAACGATAACGGTTAGCAACAGACCGAAGAGGATCGTGTAGTTGAGTATATCTGCTAGGTAGGAACTGAAGGGAGAAAAGAAAACAATTTCCACTGTTTTTATTCTTTTTTCTGCCCAGCTGGAGAATTTTGAGAAGAGAACTAGTGGCAGATAAAAAATGTTCCAAAAGAAAAACTCCATCGCTCTTCCTAAGCCGTTAAATGTCTTGGTGAATTTTCCTCCTGTTTTTTCTGACCAAACTTCTGACCTCCAGAATCTTTGCCAGACAACTTTCTGGTACATTTTAGAAGCAACGAGTCCCTTGTTCTTTGATTTCAACACATCAATGAACATGGTTTCGTCGTTTAAGCTCATCAGTTTGGAAACCTCTAGGGGTGTTACACAGACTTCGATGAGCTTTATAGCAAAGTCCCTGGGTATTTGCTCCAGCATTTCCATTTTCCTGTCGTAAAGACAGTTTTTATCGTTCTCCATCTGAGCGTATTCTAGAAGGTGATATTGCAGTTTCAGTGCAGTCCTCATGGGATCTCTACGCGCTTTCAGGGCCTTCACTGAGACCATCTTCTGGAGCAGGAGTATGGGGGAGTAGATGTTATTTCTGTCTTCTCCGTATGGAGAACTATTGACGATTATCTCCAGCAAGCCCACCACATATCCTAGATAGTGGGAATCCTCAGAGAACCTTTTCGTGTGAGCATTGTAATTGTTTATCCATCCTATTGGGTCCTTTAAAAAATCCAATCTAACTCCCTTCCCCTCGATCAAAAGCTGCAAATTAGGCTTAGAACCTAGAAGTTTATTCAAAACTTCATGATCATGTTCAGCTTTTTTAGCAAAACTTATCATATGCTTGGTAAAATGATCATCGTTTTCATCATTTTCGTCAGATGGATATCTAAGTCGCACTTTTGAGTTAAACTGGGGAGTGGCACTCACCAACTCTAAATTGCGTTTCGGACCCCCGTTCGTCGATACTTTCTTGTGTGCAGAGTGAACCGCAACAAAATTCATTTCAACCTTAAAATAAAGCTAGAAATAATTTGGTTAGTGAAAATAACAATTAAATAACGCGAAATCAAAATATTTATAACATCATGCCACAACTCCCAATATGTGACACTATAGAAACTACGGTCTGTACGTTAATCAGCAAAAAAAACCAGCTTCGACAAAACAAGAATTCTATTTCTCGTACAATGTAATTACCGACATAATAAAATGTGACCAATGACCAATGATAATAAGTATACTCTAACACTCGACCTGGATATTTGACCATCAGTATCACGTGCAAAGACATTGCATATTTAGCAATCAATCTCGAATCAAGCTATCAATTCAGAAATTAAATTAACATCAAAGCGTCAATTAAATTGAAACATTTAGCATGACATCAAAATGCCATGACCTATTGATTCAAATAATGACAGATCATACCTCTCATTGTAATACTGTAACATTGTAATACCAAGTGTAACTCATCTTCATCACTTTAAAATGCCTAGTCAAAAATGTCAGAGCCCTGCATCAATTACAATAACCTAGTTCTTTCATTCAAATTTCTGATTGTTTCTGAATATACTCAGTGAAGACAGATTGTAATGGAAATAAATAGCTGAATAACGTATCGACATTTCTACGTCATACTCATATTCTGAAATTAATTCTGAACTATCAAATCATGAGACTCTATAACACTACACGAATCCACCAGATTACAATAACCTAGTTAATAGCTGCCCCAATTTGGGGAGAAAGTCAAGTTTTTCATTTCGATTTCCGTTTCGATTTCAAATTGAGAGTTGAGCGAAATCACGATGGGGGGCCGGGGGTGGTACACTACACTTTTTTTACACCATACATGAGAAAAGGGAAGTGTGTAGTGTAAAAAAGTGTAAAAAAGTGTAGTGTAAAGTAGCCTAAAATAGCCTAAAAGGCGTTAAAAAGTGTAAAAGGCTATTTACTACACCATACATAAAAAAAGGCAAAAGTGTAGTGTAAAACATTGTAAAACAGTGTTCTACCAGATTCCGGTGGAAATAATTTTATCCCAGGCCACAAATTGATCAAACAATGCGCAAATTCTTGGATTAATTCATTCGTACGTGTCGTATGCCGTCTAGAATTGACTTCGTATTTACTGTTAGACATAATTGACATTCAATAAGAAGCAGCGAGCAGTCGACACTTGGACATATTAATAATGATTATTATAGAATTTTATGCAGCATTATTAAACAAAGGTTGCAGATAAATTCAGATTGCTAGGATAGAATAGTTAACTTTGAGCACTGGAGCAAATGAACATTTTGAGAAAACGGAGCAAAAATTTGTCTCATTCAAGAGCCGGGCTTATCACGGCATCACGCCTGCAGCACAAGGCACAGGAGGGCCAAAGTGCAAAGAAGTTAGCAGCAGAGAGCAGCAGTAAGCAGCAGTTTCTTTGCACTTTGGCCCTCCTGTGCCTTGTGCAGGCATCACGCATTCACGCATGCGCTGCACAAGGAGGAACTATGGACTAGACAATGTAAAATATCTTATCATATCACGATCACAATGCACAATGGCTAATGCCGCCCGACTAGTTGAATAACTGGTTGAATTTTGTAAACTGGATTAGTTTAACAAGAGGTTAAGGTTTCCAAAGATCATGTCGTTTATTACTTTTAGGTGTAGTTCATTTTGAAATTTAACAATCTCAGGTTTAAACAAGTTATTCGACCAATTATTCGGCCAATTATTCGAAGAGTAGTTCGGCATGACATGACAAATGAGCAACCATCAGAGTTAAACTAAAGACTTTTGTTAAATAATAATGAAACGGTAATTGCGAATTGTTGTAACAATGAACTCACCCATTTGACTATCCGCCGAACAGGCGTAACCACATGTACATCTGACTGCACAATTTGAAATTTTTCTTATTGTCCTCATCTCCAATCTCCACTAACATCATCCTACTTCTACTTCTAGGGAATAGGGATAATGTTTATCATCGAATTAAACTGACAAAGGACAGTTATAACAGGTTTTATCGCCAATTGTATCTTACACGGTTTTAAACTGTACTGCTTAAGCTTGGCACGGCAGGCTTCATGCGGCATTAGGCATGCCATCAAGTCGTCAGTATTTAATGCTAATGTCCCATTTAATTTGTCCTTATAATAGGAATGAGGATATTACATTTTTGTGCATTTGTTTTATGTAATACAGTATTAAATACATCTCAGTATTATGGTGGAGTCGGCATATTGTTGCAATAATAGAAGTTAAGGTAGCAACATCAACCGACCATGCGAATAGCTGTTGTTACCTAATTTTCTTAAAATGTACGGCGCTTCTATAGTCCAAGGTTGAAAAATTTGAGACGTGTTTGGAAACATTTCTCCAACTATTTGATATAAAAGTTTAAATTGTACAATGCAAGTTATAATTGTCGACAACAATGCATCATAATATTACATTGTCATAGGAACTGCGGTCAGTCAAGCTCAGTTTGAGAATTGTTCATTGCTATTAGAAATGCGATACAATGACATGTGCCATTACATCAATTTAAGCTTTTGTGCAAGCCACTTAAGCTGTTGTATAGCGGCCGTGCCGTTATAATAAGCTATAGATAATTGACCTGTACATACAGCTAACTTACATATCTAGTACCTTCAATTAGTCTAGTAAATACCCGAATTATTTGACTTAAACGACTAATAGTAATATTACCCAGGGGATTGTTCCAAAAATACGTAAGACAGGTTTTGGTCGCTTTAGGCATGCCTTAAGAATGTGTACAGACAACATACAGTCTAGTGTAGATAGGATTCATATCAGGTTTTTTCTACCCTTAATTTAAGGCAAAGGTTGTGAATATATGTAATATTATTAGCAGAGGCACGGATCTTTAGACTTAGTGGAATTTCAGTAGCCACAGGGCCAGGGAATGGTAAAGATGATAATACAAAATCTTTGTTCGTTTCACAAACTGTAACTCTTGCAGGATCGGTATATCAAGCGATAATCAGAAAAAGGGTCGTGGTGCTCACTTTCAGTTTAACTGTCTCTAATTTCTTATTAGCAAGTAGGGCTGTCACCAATACAACGTGTAGCCAAAGTCAGCAGAAGTTGATCGTCTCAATTGTTGCTAGGAACACAGTTATTCAAGAAGCTAAACATAGGACCGACTACCTTAATTGTTCTTTGTTCAAAACAATCTGGAAGTAGATGACAGTGTATACTGTATTGTAGCAGATGATATCGAGATATAATAATGCCTTCCTGCCATTAAAATGCTTTATGCCTAATGCGCGCATGCGCTTCGATTAAAGTACGCGCGCGACGCAAGCTAAGCTAGAGCTAAGCTAGAGCTAGCTAGTGCGAACGTACGTGCGTGTGCAATTCTGGAAAATCGCTCTTTTAACATAGCCAAGAATAAGCGCCTTACTGTTATGTTGTAAAAAGTAGGTGTTCCTGAAGGCGATAGTAAGGTAATATCACCCTATAAGTTCGAATGCAAAATAGTGTAAAAGTAAAAAGTTACTTCATTTAATTCTGGTTATTAAGAACTTATTACTGGTGCACTGCCTAATACTACACATTCACTAATCTGGTTTCAATCTGGCTGTAGTTTATGGCAGTTTGTTGAGATTTTGCTGATCAAACATTTTACAGCAACCACAAATATGTTGTTCAGCTCTTTTTACTGACTTGAGACTTGAGAAGTACATCTTAATTAAACTCACGTGGTAAAACCTTAATTAATTTAGATAGTACACTTTAAATAGTGCACTTATTGTACAGTGAGCGCAGCCCTAACAAATATCCACAACCACGCCCATTTGACGTAGAGAGTAATGAGGATGTGTGCACCTGGAGATAGATTACGCAGGTTTGTACTTACTATTGTCGTATTAACGAACATTTTAATTGTCCAGAGTGATTTGTTCAGATATGAAAATTCGGTTAATTTTGTGAATCACTTACTAAAAATAGTGTAATAAAAATTTTGAGATTTCAGTAGCCGTCTTTTCGCGGCCGTGTTCGTTATTGTGATTAAAGCATAAACTTAAACTATGTATTTTTCGGATTCAATGGTTATTTCATGTTTGTTAGGAAGTATAGGAATACGTTTCATATTACAGTTTATAATTTTTAAACATCTGGAAAGTTAGCTGACAAACATAACGCATTACCAGATACATATGATGTCGATTCTTTAAAATTCTACACACAAAACTTCGAGTTTAACACTAATTGCGCTAAAAATAGGATACTTGTAGAGCTTATGTGTAACCTCCTCGTTGCTAAGTTTGACACTTTAACTGTGCACACCCTCGTGTGACACTAGAGCTTTAAATAGTAACACGTTTGTTTCGTTAGATTGATTAATAGTAATACCATAAAATACACATTTAAGTATATTATATAATACGATAGATAGTAAAGCAGTATCTACTATACTCATCACACCGCAGTATGACGTTTCATGAGATATTATCCAACAGATATTACACGCCAGTCTTTAATACAGCAAGTAAAAACCGCAAGAGACTCTGTGAAAAAGTAGCTGACACTGACTTGGTTTTAATTGGTGGTGCAGGCGCGGTTTGTGGTACAATTATAGAGATACATATTCCGTACTATACATTAGCTTGCTACTTCATCAGGTACAATTATAGAGATACATATTCCGTACTATACATTAGCTTGCTACTTCATCAGGAAATCATGATACCATATTATACAGGGCGTACACTGTGTGCACATTACAGGTTAGTACTTCTAGTATTACATATATATATACAGTTATTTTGCTGAAAGTATCAACTAAATACACACTCTCAGCTGAGAAAGTGTCACGCTAGCCTGCGCTGGTGAACATTAGAAACACTTTGTGTATAATACACAGAACATCAGTCTACTAACGAGTTCAAGTCCCCTCGGTTTGTAGTCCTCAATATATTTACATATCGGTAGTAACTCATTTGTACGGGTGCAATTTATACTCTCTACATTAACACCAAATTAACACTAAATTAACACTAAATAACACTAAATTAACACACTAAATCTTAACTATTAGTTAAGATCACTCAACAAGTCAACACTGTGACGCTCCATAATATGTAAGCTGAGATCCGGAGAGTCTTCCTTTAGGAACACTAGGAGTAAGGACTCACTACGAGGATACATACCAGGATTTAATTTTATTCAAAAGTATATAAATACCCTAAATGTTTCACACAGTTCCGGTCTAAACCAGGATCCTCAGTTGCATTCTTCCCGCATAAATGTCGCGTAATTTTGTGAAATACGCATTAATTGGCTGTGTGTTCCTGTGTTCAATGTAAGCTCCTATGAAATAACGGTGTAATTTGAGAGCGAACAGACGAGTTGTATTTACAAAGGATAATATAAGCAAAGTAAGTAAGAGTCTCCAACTGGGAAGGGTGTGGTTTTACAGGGTGTATTACACTGTGTAATGTGTTTTAAGACAATGCATAATTTGTAGGCAAATATTTAGTTATATAAGGTGGTGTGGGTGACCGACAACTGAACCCGATTGAACCTAGTTTCCACTAACCAATCAGCTTAGTTGGTTAGGGTTAGGGTTAGAGTTAGGGTTAGAGTTAGGGTTAGTGTAAATTATCTAAATTGGGTTCAGTTGTCCGGTAACCGGCGAATTCTAACATTCTTAAATAGTGACAAGAATCAAGACTCACTCAATTTAAAATTTGGGTAACATCCAGTGTATGATCGTTAATCATGACCTCGGATTGTTGGCGATGAGATCACACCATCAGGATGGAGACTGTGTCACATAGTAGCAGACAAACTGTTGTACTTATTGTTTTAAAAACAACTCTTAAGAAGCGTGGGTACCACGTGACGCTTGGGAAACAAGTGTTGAGCTTATGTACAGTACAGCTTACATACGCGAATGTGTTGTTTCATTACATAGTGCGGTTTTTTTAATTTGATGAAGAATATAAGATATCGAGTAATATTAGGCTATCGATCATATTATATAATGTATTACAGCAAGTAAACCAGTACTCAGTCAATCGTTTGCTAGCCCAGAATACATGTTAATAGTTTTATATACAGCAAATGGGAGAACAACCAGGCCTCCTTAACGGCTAACACAAGCTGACACGTCACAGATCATTCCGGAAGGTTAAAGGCCAGGAGCGGGAGGTCATTGGAATGTTTTGAGTGCACTCTTTATATGGGCATCACGTGTTGAGGGTGTCAATGATGCGGCTTGATGCCTCCCACCATATTAAGGAATTTTAACAATTTAACCTTGTACACACGGTGACCGTGGTCTTGTATCACCGTTACTTGATGGGATACTGTTAAAGATTTGGAGCGGGACAGTGTTAAGGTGGGTAACTAAGTAGTGGACAGAAAAACGTAACCACATTTACCACATTTACCACATTTACCACATTAATCCAGAGGATATCACCATTTTACCTTCACACAGACATCGAACGCTGTAAGAAGATGATGATCAGACCTCATTATTTACCACATTTACCACATTTACCACATTTACCACATTGCATCATACTAGAGCTGAATGGTATCCACATTCTGCCACATTGACTGCAATAAACACAATACAACACAGTGTCGACTAAATTAGCCATCTATCATCATCATTGTATCAATAATTGTGTTATGTGTCCGGTTATTGTTCTTCCATCAATTTTAATCGGTTATATTCACATTACACACTAAACGTTCTAGCTATGTAGTACATTGTGATTAATAATGGGTATCATGAGTGTTTCTGAAGCATCCACGTGTAGATTTGAGATGTGTGTGTGGTTGGAATGGTGAATATCTGAAATTGCAACTATAGAATGTGCAGTAGTGGTGTGTGAATATCTGAAATAGTATGCAGTATGTGTGTTGTATCCTGTACGTGTGGTAATTAACGTAATGTTACTGCAACAGAGTGGGATATAGAGTGTTCTTTATAGCACTTAGCTGCCTAGTGCCTTCCTCATACATCATACAGTATACAATATACAATATACATTAACAGTGAGTAGGTGTGTTTTAGTGCGCAATAGCCGATAGGGCTGACTCAATTCAACAAATTACTCAAAATAGTATTTGAGATCGATACTATACATCCGTGGTGAAGTGCTATCTGGTGCTATTTATACGAGATTTGATTAGTGGGAGAGGATTTTGATTTGCCCGATTAACATCATTTAATTAAACATCATAACACTTTCTATAATTAATCAGGTTTTTGGGTACCGGGCCATCCTGGTTACCCTGCTATGGGCCGTTCCCTGGCTTATGCAGGTCGTTTACCCATATCATATACTTTCTATAATATCAGATATATAATAGTGGACCTCAGCAAGATATTATCTATTATATAATAACACATTATATATCATTTAACACTAGGATCTGTACTACTAATTTTAAATGTGGTGTAACAGTGGTGTTATCTGTAGCAGAATAATATGGAAACCTAACATTATTAAAGTAAGGATTAGGGAACTATGCAGATATTCATGGCGGGTAATGCCCACACGTGCAGATTATGTGATAATGTACTTTACAACTGTCTACTAATAATGTAATACGATACACATATAGTTATACATTTGTTGTATTATTACTGCTAATGTAACTTTATGAAGTGTACACTATATGTTTTAGTTTTTGGTATAATTTAATGCATTTTCGAGTTTCAACTACGTATATCAGTATTTTATTAATTTTACGCTGGTATCCATAGCTTGAATAATGGTCAGAGTAAAACGCAAATAAAACATAGGATAAAAACAAATAAGTAAACAATTTTAATAGTACTGTCAACAAGATAGGATCACTGCATAACATTTTTCTGTTTAGTGTTTCTAAATTACCCACGCAAACAGCTCTAATAAGCAAAACAAGTAAACACAACTTTCAGCAATCTAAGTGTTTCAAATTCTTGACATTTTTCAAATTCTTCAAATTCTGATACATTTTAAACTCCAATTTCCATACAGTTGATGATAAGACCGGGTGTAAATCGTCTCATCAAGTTCCGGCACATGACTTATACCTTATTTGATAATAACCTTATTAGCAGGGTAGTGTAAATTCCACTCTGTCTTAAGAGTAGGCAAATTGTTGGATCACATTATTCTTACACCCACAATTTAATCGTTTCCTTTTATCATCATCCCGAGAAACGTGTTGAAGGTTGACACGACGTACGGATCAGAGAAAAGTTCCCTTTAGTGTTACATGATGGCACTGCACGTCACGGCTTCAAGAAACACGACAAAATGTACTGCTTTCTTGAATCTTGACAGATCACTTGCGTATCGAGTTAAATGTGCCAAAACCTTTTAAAATGATTTAAACATGACAGATGATCTGATAAATGTTAGTTAACATTAAACATACACCTCAGAACTGAAGATCGTGCAAGGTACCAAAACCATGAATTTTCCATTAATAATTAAGCCACTAAGAGGCCCGACGTCATTATAAAGGTTTTCTCATTTGTCACTAAGAAACCAAGTTGGTATTAAGCTCCTCAGTTTAATCATATCAACCACTGCACTGAAACCCTAAACTTTGTTTAACTTCAACATTGTTATAGTTACTAATTGCCAAGGGATATTTTAAATATTATATTTACATTGTCACAAGTAGAAACCCTGTTTAACTTTATATTTATCAACTAACCAATGCAGTATATAATAATATTTCAAGTTTCTATTATATGCAAAATTAGATGACATAATATTAACTTTAATGTTAACTGTACAGACTCAAAGAAATACAGAATACTTATCATTTCATCTCTATCATAAAGTCACGCAAACGTTTATCTTTATTTGTCAACTTCAGTATGAGATTATTAACTCACTGTCGGCTGTCGAATAAGTTACTTTTGAACTACACAAAGCTTTACTGGTCTAATGAAATTGTAGATATCTTTTGTTCAGTAAATCCAGCAGCTGACGCAAAATGTAAATATCAATTCTTTTGATTTAAAAAGGAAATGAGCGTGTGTGTATTGGCTTGACACAGTTATGCAAGCCCAACATGTCTGTAGGAATGTACTTCACAAAAATTCAATTTTTATGGCTTGAGCGGCATTGTTACAAGGGCATATTCTGGAGCTTAATACCACCAGGCTAGGTTGTGCGGTATTGCCATTCAGTAGCACTTAAGAACTATCGATTCGTGAAAAATCTTAAGTTTTGCATACTGTGTAGTACACATTGTGTACTAAGACTTGTGGAGACATGCACACTGTATGCCAACGGACAATCCATCAAACTTATTTCCTATCTAAATAATTACACAAAATAGAAAAAAGAATTGATGAAATCACCTATTTACATATTACTAAAATGAGCTGAATCTTCAAAGTAATTCGAAGGAATCTCAAACATCTTGGAGTCATGCTCGGCTTCCCTATAAGACTGAAATGTAACTGTAGCAGCAATTGTGGGCAGAACAGGTACCTCTACCTTTACTGGAAATCCAGGGGGAATCTTCATGTTTATAAAGTCTTTAAGTTTACTGAAATGTTTGAATGGAGCCATTACTTCCAAAATACTGAGCAGTATTTCCACTTTGACAGGGAAATCTTCCGTCATCCAAATACTAGCCTTCAGAGCCTTCTTGTCCTGTTTCAGGAGAATAGGTCTGCCTATGTGCCTACCTTTCTGTTCAGGCTCCAGAGGGGAGTTGAGGTATTCCTCCCATGTTATTTCTGGTTTTTGAGGGGGAATTAAGGAGCCCCGACCTCTAGGTAACTCCTCCTGTTGTTGTAACCATTGTATTGATCCTTTACTGATACTTTCCAACGCAGCTTTATTCTTCAGGACATCTTCTTTAGACAAGTGCTCTCTTCTTTTGCGGGAGTTCAAAACCATGCCGTTAACACCAAACACAGAGGTTTCAAAGTCACCAACCTCTTCTGACTTGTCGTGTTTGTAGACCCAGCCTCCTTGAAGTCGGGCAAAGGTGATGGGTTTGGTGGATATATTTGCGGATACTATATCGCTTGACATAAGGATGTCCACTTCCTCCTCTATATCTTTATCAGTTTCAACAGCAGAAATGTGGGAATATTTTTTAGCTTTATTGTCCAAGACATACATTTCACGCTTTTTGCGCCCATTAGAGCTTGTAATGACTTTTTTAGGGGAGCCATGGAAAATGAAACTTAAATCTCCCCTCTGCCATCTCATGTCATGAAAATCCATTAATGTACTATCAATTCTGACATCAGAATTCCGCTTAAACAGTTTGCAAGTATCAGATGGCAAGAATCTTGATATCAACGGGATCCAACTATGAAAATCCCATTTTATCTCAACATAAAAATCAGGGATTCCTGCCAAGGCATTTGTTAAATCTGGCTGCTTTTCCTCTATTCGTACCCTGCTCTGCTTCTTAAGTTTCCTCAAGCACATAGTAATGATCTCACGGTCCCCAAAACTAATGGATTCCGCTAAACAGTTCCAACCCAAGTTGTTCTTCAGAGCAACAGGGGCATCATGCGTAAGTAAAAGCTTTGTACATTCCTTGTGACCAAGCATGATGGAGAGGTGAAGTGCGGTATTACCATGAGGATCTTTTTCTGCAATATCATAAATTTTCTCTTTCAATAAATCAATCAGTTCGGTTATGTTATTGTGGAAGACTGCTTTGTGAAGAATGTAGCTTTCCACATCATAGAAGATCTCCTCTCCAGAGGCTTCTGAGTCGGAGTCAACATACTCTAGCTCCACTTCTGGCATCTGTGCCCCCTTCTCACATTGCCATAATCCTAAGGTTGAGAGAATTTTTATTAAGCAAGAAAAATATCCACATAATTATCAACATAAATATTAATGAAATAATTTCAATTTGGAACACAATGCCATGTTAAATATATTTTGTTGATAATAATGGAATAAATTTATTATAATATAACTTATATTGCAGTATTATGTAATTAAAAACGATTACAAGACATCTTATTCCAAACCTAAAGCTAAATAATTTAGCACTTGTTCCCTAAAAGTTTTGAAATCTCTGATCTCTGGTGACAATTCTTGAAATCTATTTGTTAGTTTGTTTTCCACTTAAATGTCATGTTATTCAACTATATGTGACTGTAATCTTAATGGGAACTGATTGAGACAATTCATCACAATTGTATGCAGTCATCAGTGAATAGACATCGGTAGTTTGGGGGGGAGCTCGATGCGCCCCCCCCCCCCCCCCCCCCCAGTCTGTAGATTCACGATAGGACACCCAACAAAACTGCCAGCCAGCTCCCACGAGCCGCCTCTGATGCAGGGAGATAAGAAGCTGTTATGGCACCCCGTGCCAATAACTTGTACTCCGTTTAATGGATCTAAATTGTATATATTAACCATACAACACAATTGATTTAATTAAAAGGGTCGGATAAAAATCTATTTTCCTATTTACTATTTAGCAAACAGGATGATACAAATTTTACTGAATTTTAAATTTTCCTACCACTGGTTGCTAGGTGGCTAGAACTTTAAAATCATAAAACTCAGGGGCGGCTCGTGTGGGTGTCAAGATGCACCCATGCAACTCAGCTCATTCTGTGAGACATTTCAATATTTAAAATTTAATACTCATCCGGCAATTGGTTAGATTTAATTAATACGCACGCAGTAAAAGTTGCGCATTTAAAACAGTTGTAGAGGGGTTCACGTTCAGATTAGCGTTATGAATCGAGCACTCATAATTGAACGCCTGCTGCCCTGCTTGTTGGTGCTGAACGCCTGCCTAATACAAAAGACCCATCATGTAGCCTTTTGAACCCACATTTTAGCCTTTTAACCCGACATCAGTTTTCGAGACATGCTTTCAAGTCCCGAGATAAGACTGTGAGGACCCAAAATATTACTTGAGTACCCCAAATCAAATTTTTGATTCGGTTTGATTTGTTAAATACAGTTTTGCCTAAAAGATTCTTGAGATTTCCGGTTGATATCTGGATATATATAAGCCCGGTCGGTTCCTTTTATTAAATTAAGTAATGAGTTACTTTGAAATCCACTGTAAATATTCGATAATTAAAAAACTAGAGAAAGTAGCTCAAACAATAGCACACAAATAATTTCAGCAATGGTCATCGTACAGCTGTAAGGTTAAACAATGAACACCTTCAAAAATACGTGGGTACAGAGGAAAGAAGATGAATAACAAACAGGAGACCATTCTATCAGAAATCTCATTCAATCTCATCCCTGCCCCTAATGATGGAGTAGATCATGTGTTTTGAAAATAATTGGTTGTCGCTAAATCTTATTCAGACAGGTTGACACTGTGCACAGGAGGGGCTAAGTGCAAAGAAACTGCTGCTAACTGCTGCAAACTGCTGCTCACTGCTGCTCACTGCTGCTCACTGCCGCTAACTGCTGCTCACTGCTCACTGCTGCTCACTGCTGCTGTCGCAGCAGCAGTGAGCAGCAGTGAGCAGCAGTGAGCAGCAGTTAGTAGCAGTTTCTTTGCACTTAGCCCCTCCTGTGTGTGCTGTAATAGCCCATTTAAGGCTAAGTATGACCTCCTTTGTTCAAGAAAGGGTGACTAACTGGTCCAAGGTTAAGCAGAGTGGTGACTTTTAGTTTACTAATTAGAGAAGGACTAGTAGTACAAAAAATAAGTTCCTAAGGCATTACACATCACACATTACAAAACTCAACTTTTCAAACTGAGAAATGAGGGTAAAACGCACTAGGAGAAATTAAGAGGGCATGGGTGCAAAAAACTAAACAAAAAAACGAGAGCAATAAATAATTGATTGAATTCACAATATTTGTTACTCGAAAGATGAATTAAAAATAGTTTTAGAATTCTGTCAACATATAATTGTCGACAAAATAGCTCAGTAGTATTCAGTCATCATGCAGTGGCATTATATAAAAACCACTGTTCTATTCACATCATTAGTATAGCTGAAAAGGGACGCCTCTTTGCCGAAAATGATGCCCTTATATTGAAATACCAATGATTCATTTAATTATATAATATATATATAACGAAATGATTCAATTAGCAATACATATATAATAAATATATCAAACATTTATTGTAATATATCAAATATGTATATAATTTATATTATATATTAAATATAATATATATATTTGCTCCCCATTGCATCTGGTCCGAGTCTGTTAGCACAGATCACCTGGGAGTGGTAACACCACAAAACCGTTAATTGCCTGTCAGTGCTATATCACTGGGGGGTCGGTTGCTGTGGCGGCAAGAGGATGCAATTGCTGGGTGGTGCTCGGTGATGCTGTCTTGTGGCAGGGTCATCTGTGTGTCACTCACGATTCACCATTTTGTCCAAGTCTTGGTTGCCCTGTGTAATCGAGCATTTGCTTGGTGATCTTGTCTCTGACATGATCATTTACGGTTTAATTTTGATTCCCTATGGGCTTCAGAAGCTCTGCATGCTTTAACTTTACGTATCGAACCTAACCACCAGCTTGCTGGTGTCTGGACGGAGGCGCGAGCGCTTACTTCTTGATGTCGGTGCTGCCTCTGGATCGGGTGCGAAGGTCCGGCAAACCATCCACCTTAAATCAAACCGCTACAGAAACGTCTACAGTGTCATTCAATAGTATTATACGTGGAGGCGCAGGTGGAGTGATGACGGCGACTAGGCAATGCCGAAAGGACCCTAGTAGCTTGATGTCTGTTTGCAACTCCCGTAAGAGCCGACGTAAACACTGTAAATACAGAATTCCTTCATCAGATTTGTCATTTGTAAACAGACAGTCAAGTATGTCTAATCCTGTAAATATTGTAAAGAATCCTCTCTGTATCAGTACATGGAATGTTACTTCTCTTGTCAGTAATTCCAGTAAGATGTATCAATTAGGAAAAGGTTTTGATGATTCCACACTTGCATTCTACCGTCCTACTGCACTCAGTCCTAGTTAGGTGTCAGCACTACACTACATATACCGGCCTACCATCCCACATCCTCACTTCCACACTTGCATTCTACCGTCCTACTGCACTCAGTCCTAGTTAGGTGTCAGCACTACACTACATATACCGGCCTACCATCCCACATCCTCACTTCCACACTTGCATTCTACCGTCCTACTGCACTCAGTCCTAGTTAGGTGTCAGCACTACACTACATATACCGGCCTACCATCCCACATCCTCACTTCCACACTTGCATTCTACCGTCCTACTGCACTCAGTCCTAGTTAGGTGTCAGCACTACACTACATATACCGGCCTACCATCCCACATCCTCACTTCCACACTTGCATTCTACCGTCCTACTGCACTCAGTCCTAGTTAGGTGTCAGCACTACACTACATATACCGGCCTACCATCCCACACATCCTCGGCTTTGATCAAATAATTTGAGGCACAGTGTATAACACTATAACTATAGTTGGCATTTCTGTTGGACAAAAACGTTTTGGCAATATATTGGCAGTTGGGATAGTGCTAAGCACTCTAAACTATAAAGGTGCATGGGAATGTTGGATTATGGTATGGTTGTCATATTGTTGGTGTGGCGTCCGCAATATTATCAGTCGCCTTTGAAAATCTACTACAGATTTTCTTTCTGTATATCACTATACAGTTCCTCTTTAGAAAAAGTGCATGTGACAAGTAACGAGACAAGGATGCTCTAGGATCAGGAGCGACAAATGATCAATTGTTCTAGACGTGAGGCTTTCTGCAGTAACGGCCCTAGCGAACAGGGGGGTGGTTGTTCGCTTGAGTACTATGATGCGGTTATACAAGTCTGGCAAAACAATTTGTGACCTGCCTATTGGCCGGGCGCCGCCGTAGACTCAACACATGGTGTGTGGGGTATTTACCTCGGGCACACACCTTAATCTCTCGACCGGCGGGTCACACCCAAATCTCCTGCTCCAACTCTTTCAAAGGCTGGTACCCTACTACTACGTGGCCAGAAGGAAATTCTTGTAGGAACTCTTAATGTACGAACAATAAGAGAACAATACAAGAGGGATGAGCTGGGTGTATGCATGAGGGATAGTGGCGTACATATTTTGGGCATTCAGGAGCATCGGGTAGTACATAGCACTGAAATCGAGTATCAAGATCTTGGAAGCTCTCACCTCATAACAACTTCGGCATGGAGAACCAGCAATGGGGCGGCTGCTGGTGGGGTTGGTATTGTCTTGGACAAAAAGACAGTATTCAACTCATTGATTAGTGTATACTCACATGACAGGAGGACGATGGTAGCCAACTTTGCAGGGAACCCGGTCACAACTGTTATTGTGACTTATAGCCCGACAGAGGGGGCGACTGTCGACGAAGCAGAAAACTACTACGACAGCCTTGGTGGTGCCATCGACCAGATACCAGCCCACAACTTACTATTCGTTGTAGGAGACCTCAATGCGCATGTCTCATCATCAGGAAACTGGACATCCTTCCACAAGGGTCCAGCAAACCGAAATGGTAGACTGCTAGAGGATATGCTGTTGGAGCGACAGCTAGAAATCACAAACACCAGATTTCAGAAGCGAAGAGGTAAACTCTGGACATATCTCTCAGATATGAGTCAAAGTAAATCTCAAATCGACTTCATCATTTGCCGGAAGAAATGGCGGAACTCCGTCAAGAACTCCGAAGCATATGGTAGTTTCCACAGTATTGGCTCGGATCACAGAGTAGTCGTAGCAAGGGTAAAGCTTAGTCTACGGATAAGCAAGACGGAGAAGAGGGCTCCGGTTCTGGACTGGTCTAAACTTAAAACTGATATCGCTCTACAAGAGAGGTACAC